AACTTGAGCACTATCCTCTCCTTCCTACTTTATCTGTTTAGCATTTTTAGGATTCTGACTGTAGTTTGTTCATTGCTATTCACCCGTTGTCCCATTGTCTGTTTCATGGTACGATGACGGGATCTCTGAGCCTGGCCTCTTCCATCTACACCTGCGGACTGCCCCGCCCGACCCGCCTGGGAGTGCTTCAGTCCTGCACCGGACCTGTCCACGTTCAGCGGCCACTGGTCCACGTCCTGTAGCTAGCTTAGGTCCTAGATCATTAGCCTGTCCGTCCGGAGGAGCGGATCCCTTTCTCATATGGGTCTCCCTCCCTGTGGGTTTCCCTAGTGCTCCCCAAGGTTTCTCACGTTTTCCCACTGGGTTTTTTAAGAGTTTTTCCTTGTCGATGCAGGAGGGTCTTGTTGGACAGTTAGTGTCCAACAGAAAGGATTGGTGATGATCAGGACACTTTAGCATTCTACAACATGTATGGACATTTTCTTCTGTGTGTGCTTTATATTCTTCATGTGTTTTAACTGTTGATTCTCTGACCTGTGTTGGTGATTTCAATGGTTTTGTTAAGTCCTCTGAGATGACTTCTGTTGTGACCTAGGGCTATACAAGAATAAATTGTATTGTAATGTATTGTATAGCACGGAGGTGAACTTCGTATTGCTCAGGGGCAGTAACAGCGTGAAATATGAATAATCTGGAGGGTTGGGGCTGGTATCAGCTCATTAATCACATTGATTCGGGGCCAAGGCTCCATCAAAGGTAAATGCTAAGAATGTAAACATGTCGGTTTTAAAATAACATGGTAAGCTGTAAAACTAGCATTGAAGCTAGCCTTAACTAAACACTGCCTAAAAAAACGTTTCTAGAGAGGGACAAGAAACATCTTCTTATGAACACATTTTATGGAATTAATATTACACATTTATTTACAACCAAAATGAGAAGGTCCTTGTCCTGTGGAAGACCTCCTGTGTGATCCCGGTTCCTAAAACAGTGCACGCCAAGGAGCCGGCTCACTACAGACCAGTCGTACTGACCTCCCACCTGATGAAGACCATGGAGCGGCTCATCCTCACCCATCTCCGCTCCGTGGTCAGCCCCACCCTGGACCCGCTGCAGTTCGCCTACAGACCCAACATCGGAGTAGAGGACGGCGTCATCTACTTCCTGCAGCGGACGCTCTCCCACCTGGAGCCCGTCGGGAGCAATGTGAAGGTCATGTTTTTGACTTCTCCAGTGCTTTCAATGCCATCAGGCCGGCACTGCTGCGGGGGAAGATGGATGACGCGGGAGTGGACAGTAGCCTCACTGCATGGACCATCAACTACCTCTCAGACCGACCACAGTACGTGCGGCTGCGCAGCTGTGAGTCTGAGGTGGTAGTCTGCAGTACTGGGGCCCCTCAGGGCACTGTTCTCTCACCGTTTCTCTTCACCATCTACACCTCAGACTTCACATACGACACACACAGCTGTCACCTGCAGAAGTTCTCCGACGACTCCGCCATCGTGGGCTGTGTGTCTGAGGGGAACGAACTGGAATATCGGTCGGTTATCAAGGACTTTGTCGACTGGTGTGAGCGCAACCACTTGTGCTTGAACACCAGTAAGACCAAGGAGATGATCATCGACTTCAGGAGAAAACCACTTTCCCACACGCTGCTGAACATCCAGGGGGAGGACATTGAGCTGGTGGACAGCTTCAAGTACCTGGGTGTTCACATCAACAATAAACGGGACTGGTCTCATAACACTAACGCTCTGAACAAGAAGGGCCAAATGAACAAGAAGGGCCAAAGTTGCCTCTTCCTTCTGAGGAGGCTGAGGTCCTTCGGAGTGAGCAGGTCTGTTGCCTCTGCGCAGGACTTTTTATTACTCTGTGGTAGCCTCTGCCATATACGCTGCCGTGTGCTGGGCCCCGGGCAGCACAGTGCGTGGACAGAAACAGACTGAACAAGCTGGTCAGGAGGGCCAGCTCCACTCTGGGCTGCTCCCTGGACTCTGTGGAGGAGGTGAGGGACAGGAGGGTGCTAGTCAAAGCCACCTCCATCATGAACAATACCTCCCACCCACTGCACAGGACTGTAGAGGAGCTGAGGAGCTCCTTCAGTGGAAGACTGAGGCACCCTCAGTGTAGGAAGGAGCGCTACCGCAGGGCCTTTATCCCCACTGCTGTCAGTCTGTACAATAAGTCACTTTAAATGATCACTGTGTGAAAACCTGCACTACTATTGACACTGTTTCCAATTGACACTTGTCACTTTTGTTGTACATAATTATCCTGCATGTAACATGTTTGCACATTTCTTTCTTTTGCACAATCTGAGTGTCTCTATCCATGCCAAATGTGACATGTAAATGTCTCCTTTGTGACATAAATAAAGCACATCTTATCTTATCAAATATAGTTATATACCTGATTTTGAGCTATGTTGTTAATGTTGTTGCCCTCCGCCATGATCAACTCTGCGCAGGCTCAATTTTTAATGTCTGTGAGCAGTGACGTAATATTGACAGTTTGTTGACTGCTGAAATTTGTATTCTCAAAGAGGAAAATGCAAGCACACAAAGAAATCGTATAGTAAGAAATCACACATACAGTTTAATATGTTTTTATTCTTAATTACTAAATTCCATGTCTTTTTAGTTTGTATTATCTTAATCATGAATTAATACAATATTTTTATGCACAAATACCAATAAATATGCAAGTGTTTTTTTTTTAGTTATGCACGTCTTTATGAACGGTAACCTTACCCCGTAGAGTTCACTCTCTGAAACACAGCCTCCCCATGTCCAGTTCCGAACCTTGGCAGCAGCAGGAGGCCTGTCCCTGTGCTCCTCAGAGCCCGAGTAGGTTCATATGGTACTAACATCAGTGACATAGCTGCTGCATTTTGGATGTACTGCAGCCAGTGGTGTTCCAAGGGTACCCCGGGGCCCCAGGCAACAGAGTCCTTGGGGGCCCCGATACCGACCACATAACCACATAAAAAGGTTTATATAACAGTAGGTACAGTATAAATGTATATTTAATAATAAGGTAAAATGCAATATCTATTACTTGTTTGTACTGGAGACAAATGCATGGATAAGAATCTCAAAGTCTGCTTTAGACACTATGTTTTTAATTTTAGCAATGTTTTTTTTAGGTACAGAACATTTTACATTTATATTTTTAATGTTTAGTATTGACTGATTGTTTTTGAAATATCTTTTTATTGTTTTGTTTTTGTTCAGAACGTGTCTTGTTTGGTTCACCACAGATTAAATCTCAGATTGCCCTAATGACGAGAGTCGAGTATTTCCAAACTGTGACACTCTTGCCGTACTCTCGGGTGGCACGTGGTGCAGTAGTAAGTAGTAAGTAAGTAATCTTTATTTATATACCGCCTTTTCACTGCAGCGGTTAGCGCTTGTGCTTCACAGCAGAAAGGTCCTGGGTTCTATCCACCTCTAAGCCTTTCTGTGCGCTTTGCATGCTCTCCCTGTGTCTGCTCCGGTTTCCTCCTGGTGCTCCGGTTTCCTCTACTACTAAAACCATGTAACATATGTCCGGCATGTGCCTCCTGTTGGCGACATTGCTCCCATCTGTGGAGACAAATGCCCACAACAATTGTTGTGACTCTGGTCTATGCTGTTTGTGACTCTGGTCTATGAAACATAAATTACATAAATAAAAAACACTTAATTATTTTAGTAGATTTAATTCTAACTCTTTGGTTCTTCTCTTGCAGTCATTAAAGTGGCCTTCTCTGCAACTATGACCGATTCACAGCCTGTTTCCTTTGGGCCTTATGCTTATGATTCTACACTTGTCTATAAACGTGTGGTGTTAAACATTGGAAGTGCCTATGACCCAGAAACAGGTACACACTCTGTTTGATATTAAACATTATTGTCATGTGTGTAATATTGTCACAATCTGCTGCAGGGATCTTCACTGCCCCGATCAGAGGAGTGTACCGCTTTGAGGTTTATATTTTTGACATTTATCGAGAAACTCACAACCTTTCAAGAGTCAGTCTGATAAAAAATGGAGTTCGTACATACACAGCTAATGAGAACCAGAACTCTGGCTCTGGCTCTGCAGCCACCGCCATCACACTGCTGCTGCAGGGAGGAGATCAGATGTCTGTCAGTCTGGAGAATTACGATACTATTTATGATAATTATTATAACCAAAACTCATTCAGTGGTCACCTGCTGTTCCTAATGTGAAATCTTAACTGCATTAAAGGCTTTGTCATGAGTTATTGTCTGTTTATAATGTTTGATTATTACTCACAGCTCGCTAGATAGATAAATGTATTGATCCTTTATTGAGGAGAATGTCTGTTTTCCAGCAGCAAAAAATACATCCACATTAACACATAAGTACATCAATTATAAACATTTCTAACTAACTACCTTACAATAGTGAATAAATTAAATGCATACAGGTCTGTTGATAGGGGACAGAACTGTGCCTCATTAATAGCATACACATTTATACATACATACTATCTTTGTGAGGATTATGAGTAGAGATGTCCAAGTCCGATAAACTGATTAGAAAGCAGCCCTGACACATGGTTTCAGACTCCTCTCGATCAGCACTCAGACATACTGCGTTTTTTCCTAGATGTACAGTAACTATCTGTATGTAACTATGGACAGGGCGTCATCATCTCAGCCCATTCTGCTTATGACTCTCGTGCAGCTAATACCATGTGGCTCCTCCCACTGAAAACTGAAAATAAAAACATCTCTGCTCTTCCTGCACTTGCATCAAGAACCACAAATCTAGTGTATATCTGCTGTTTGAACTCCTTGTGATCGCCCCCAGCTCCAACAGTACTCAGGGTAATGTCTCTTAAGCCACTGTGCAATGATTAGTTTAGTGTTTACTTCATGAGTTTGGATATGCCTTCATCCTGAGTTCATATTCTACCCTGACTGGATACACGCGCGGCTAACGTGACCGCAGACCAGGAAGTACCGCTTCATTTTGGTGCAGCTTCTTTAGGAGAGACTGTAATCTCTCTGGAGGATCTCAAACCCAGAAGATTGAGCTGCTCTGGTGCACACTCCTCCCCAGGCCTCCACAGGCCTCCACACTCCTCCCCAGGCCTCCACACTCCTCCCCAGGCCTCCACAGACCTCCACACTCCTCCACACTCCTCCCCAGGCCTCCACAGACCTCCACACTCCTCCACAGGCCTCCACACTCCTCCCCAGGCCTCCACACTCCTCCACACTCCTCCACACTCCTCCCCAGGCCTCCACAGACCTCCACACTCCTCCACAGACCTCCAGTGGACCATGGAAACAGCTGGTTTCTTGGTGCTGCTGCTGAGTTCCTCTCTTTTCTTCTTTGGAGGGAATTGTTTGGATGATTCTGGACAAAACCCTTTTCAGTTCTGTCCGTCTGACATCGACTCAGTGAGAGAGATGAGAGCTGCACTGGCCCCTCAGCTAGTCCAGATCAAACAACTGCAGAAGGAAAAGAGGAGTAAACATCAATGGAATGTGCTGTAAAGTTTTGTCGGACTATAATTTCACTCCTTTTTAAATATGTTTCAATGTCAGAGTAAATAAATAATAAATGGTTCTTAACTACTGCACAAAAAGTCAATACTGTATGTGCCCCTGTGTATGATGTATTCCTGTTGGGGGAGCTCCATGTGGTTATGAATACAAGAGTTTAAAAATAGTTCTGAAAATAAATGACAAATGAGAAGTAAATTAAATCTGGGTTCACACCATTGGCCCATATACAATCCGTATTCACAATCCTGGTGCACCAGTGTGTCATGAACGAGGAGAGCCAATCCATCTGACATCGATCGATTGTTTTGGTCGTATCATCTGTGACTGCACCCCTCCTCTACAGTTGGTCAAAGAAATCAAGCAAAGAATAACGCAGATTAGTGTAGCAGTAAATGTTATCAAAGTACATTCCTATGCAGTGTTATAAAAGTGTTGTAGCGTTGCTTTTTACATGCTTGAAGGTGATACATCCAGGACATTCGACATGAAACGACACTTCTGGACATTGGTCTCTGCCTCTCATGGACCAGTGTGTTTTCATCATTGCATTTCCTGTGTTTGAATTGTTTGATTATCTGATCTGTGTCAGCAAATCGTAAAGGTTTTGTGAAGTTCTCCGAGATAGCTGCTGTTGTGATTTAGGGGTACACAAGACTCTCTCTGAGACCTGAGTCCACTCTCTTAGACCTGAGTCCTCTCTCTGAGACCTGAGTCCACTCTCTTAGACCTGAGTCCACTCTCTTAGACCTGACTCCTCTCTCTGAGACCTGAGTCCACTCTCTTAGACCTGAGTCCTCTCTCTGAGACCTGAGTCCACTCTCTTAGACCTGAGTCCACTCTCTTAGACCTGAGTCCTCTCTCTGAGACCTGAGTCCACTCTCGTAGACCTGAGTCCTCTCTCTCAGACCTGTGTCTAGTCTCCAGACAATGATGGGTGTGGTTTGTGTCTTGTGTCTCCTTTTCATCACGACACTGTGAAGACGAGAATATGTCAAACTAAGACGATAAAAACAAATTTCTGACTTTCAAAATAAGCATAAACATTTTCATTTCTCAATTGAGGTTGATGTGATCATCATCAACCAGTTTCCCCAGGGACTCGTCCTCTTTTGAACAAGTTTGGGGAAGTTTGACCTCTTCACTTTTTGACATGTGATACCTGCACAATGCTTGTAGGTTTGATTGTGCCACATCCACAATGAAAAATGTATTTATTATTAGTAGTAAATGTAATGTTCTCCACATACAGTGTACATCATGCAGTAACTTACATCTTAAATTCAAATATCTAGATCTAATTGATGTGTTTATATGGATGTATTTTCTGCTGCTCGACACTGGAAATTCTCCTATGGGGATCAATAAAGTATCTAAGGCAAGGCAAGTTTATTTATATAGCACAATTCATACACAAGGCAATTCAAAGTGCTGAAAAAAATAAGAAAGCATTAAAATCATAAATAATCACAGAACATTAAAAAGAAAGATAAAAATATAAAATCCCTCAGTTGTGTGCACAGCTAAACAGAACTGTCTTTAACCTGGTTTTAAACATTGTCAGAGAGGAGGCCTGTCTCACATCTTCAGGAAGACTGTTCCAGATTTTAGCAGCATGAATCTGAAAAGCAGCCTCCCCATGTTTAGTTCTGACTCTGGGCACTAACAGGAGTCCAGTCCCTGTGCTCCTCAGAGTCCGGGCTGGTTCATATGGGACTAACATGTCACTAATATATTTTGGTGCGAGGCCATGGAGAGACTTGTACACAAGCAGAGCTGTTTTAAAGTCTATTCTCTGAGCCACAGGAAGCCAGTGCAGAGACCTGAGGACTGGACTAATGTGGTCGTACTTCCTGGTTCTAGTCAGGACTCGAGCTGCTGCATTTTGAATGTACTGCAGCTGTTTTACAGCCTGTTTGGACAGACCTGTGAGCAGGCCATTGCAGTAGTCTAACCTACTGGAGACAAATGCATGGATAAGAATCTCCAAGTCTGCTTTAGACACTATGTTTTTGATCCTGGCAATGTTTTTTCGATGGTAGAAAGCTGCTGATGTTAGTGATTTGATGTGGCTATTAATATTTAAGTCTGAGTCCAGTATGATTTCTGACCTTGTTTGAGGGTTTTAGGGAGAGAGACTGTAGGTGACAGATGACGCTCTCTCTTTGTTTCTGGGGACCAAAGACAATCATTTTAGTTTTGTCTGCGTTTAGCTGAAGGAAGTTGTTTTGCATCCACTCACTGATCGGTTGGATACAGTGAAGGAGTGAGTCCACTGGTCCATGTTCTCCTGCAGTCAGTGAGACATAGATCTGAGTGTCGTCTGCATAGTTGTGATAGGACACTTTGTTTCTGCGTATTAACTGACCTAACGGCAGCATGATTCTATCTTTTCAACACGTAAGCGTGGGTCTGGAGAGCCCGTGTGCCCGGACGGGACTTCACCGGCGGGGTATACGCTTGACAGCTGGAACAAGTTTCAGCCCCTCTGTCTGTCGGTCCTGTCTATTGAAGATTCGGAAGACGTATATATTTTTGGCATTTTGGTGGTGGGAATCCTCCTGTTTGGGTTTGGAGCGGTCCTCTTCTACCACAAATTCGGAGGCATGGCAGTTCGCAAGATTCACGACCTGCTGGCCAACAAAATTGATGGGATGTACAAGGAGCTTAGCCGAGTCGTGGTTGAGAGTGCCGTGGCTGGTCAAAGGAGAGTGGTGTTGGTGGAACAGTTGATTAAAGATCTCGCAGCTCGTTCACTCGAAGGGAATAAAACTCTGGAGCTGAGATTGAATGACATTGTGTGTCAGGCTTGAACTCTCTGACCCGGCTTGGATTTGCCCCTGTGTACGGAGGTCTGAGGGCGCCGCAATTCGGATTAATTGGATTTAATAGAATATCTGCCTGTTTTTGACTGCAACATTGCATGTAATATTGTCCCTCTCAGGCGATGTGTTTTTTTTTCTCCTGCTGTGTCTTCTCTCCACTCTTATCTCACATTCCTCGGCCAAGGCCATAATAACAAGTCCGGACTATCTACAACAACTCACACTCTTCAGTCTTCAGTCTCCAGCACGGATCCCTCCCCCGCCTCCCTCTACCTATTCATCTTGCTCCCTCCCTCCCCTCCACTCCTCATTGTGTTTCCGACTCACCCCCTCCCTGACCCCGCCCCCCTCTGACAGCCACATTGGGCCGGCTGTAGGAGGCGCTCATCCCGAGAAAAAAATACGTGGTTTATACAAAGCACAATGTGTCTATCCAACTGTCTGTGTAATCTGTATGTTATTGCTCTCTGCTGTTTATTCTACTGTTTGTCGCATGGCGCCGGAAAGATGGCGCCGTGGCAAGAGCTCTGGTGTGTGTCGTCTTCTCTGTCTGGCGCACACCGGGGTAGTCTTGCACAGTTTTCCAATGTGGTTTTACTGCAAATGGCAAATAAATGAATCTGAATCTGAATGTAGAGATTGAACAGAAGAGGTCCCAGGATCGACCCCTGTGGTACTCCACAGGTCAGGGCCATATGATCTGAGACACAGTTTCCAATCTCCACAAAGTACTTCCTGTCTTCAAGGTAAGACCTAAACCAACTTAGGGCGGTGTCAGCGACAGCCGGATATCGGTTGTAACCTTAACGAGAGCAGTCTCAGTGCTGTGGTGGGGTCTAAAGCCGGACTGAAACAAATGAAATGAGTTGTTGATTATAAGAAATCTAGTAAGCTGTAGGTAGACAACTTTCTCATGGACTTTCCCCATAAATGGCAGTTTTGAGATGGGACGATAGTTGTTAAGTACCGTAGCATCCAGACTGCTCTTTTTTAGCAGGGGCCTGATGACTGCGATTTTCAGGGCCTTTGGGAACATTCCAGAATGAAGGGACATGTTTACTATCTGTGTGAGTAGACTTCAGAAATCTAGTGGGTAGTACATCCAGGCTGCATGTGGAGGAGCTCAGACTGGAGATTATCTCTTGGACAGTTTGATCATTTACAGGTGCAAAGTGAGTTAGCTCAGAGAGCCTTTCTGGCTGTTGGATTGTTATCTGTGGATTGGAGATAATGGCGTTTTTGATGCCTTGAACCTTGTCATTGAAAAAATTAGCAAACTCATTGCATTTGCATATATATCTATATATTGAGCTGTGAGTAATAACCAAACATGAACAGACAACAACTCATGACAAAGCCTTTAATGCAGTTCAGATTTCACATAGGGAACAGCAGGTGACCACTGAATGAGTTTTGTTTATAACAATCATCATAAAGAGAAGCCGAATTCCGCAAACCGACAGACATCTGATCTCCTCCCTGCAGCAGCAGTGTGATGGCGTTGGCTGCAGAGCCAGAGCCAGAGTTCTGGATCTCAGTAGCTGTCTCTGTATTAACTCCATTTTTCATCATACTGACTCTTGAATAGTGATCTGATTCAAACATTTCATAAATAGAAATCTCAAAGTGGTACACTCCTCTGACCGGGGCAGTGAAGATCCCTGCAGCAGATTGTGACAATATTACACACATGACAATAATGTGAAATATCATACAGAGTGTGTACCTGTTTCTGGGTGTTTAACACCACACGTTTGTAGATAAGTGTAGTATCAGAAGCATAAGGCCCAAACTGCTCATAATCGGAATCAATCAGAATCATTTTTCAGAATCAGAATCATTTTTATTGCCAACGTAAGTAACGGGAGGTCACAGACTTGGAAATTGCTTTGGCTCAGTGCAACAGTCAAAAAGAGATAATAAAAATAAGAATAAAAAACACTTCTAAAGAATAAATTTAAATTTAAAATAGAGTTACAGTTACTATTTACAATATACAAGTGCACATGGTGCACACAATGTAAGGTGACAGCAGTACAGTGAAGTAAAGTGACGTATGATGGGCAGTAAAGTGACTTTATAAAGGGCGGGGGGACAGGTTAAGAAGTGTTCAAGAGTCCAACAGCAGAGGGGAAGAAACTGTTCTTGTGGCGGGAGGTTCTAGTCCTGATGGACCGCAGCCTCCTGCCTGAGGGGAGTGGTTGGAATAGTCCATGTGCAGGGTGAGAGGGGTCGGCTGTGATACGACCAGCCCGGCCTCGAGCTCGGGCGACGTACAGGTCCTGCAGCGATGGAAGGCTGCGGCCGATCACTTCCTCTGCAGAGCGCACAATGCGCTGTAGTCTCCGTTTGTCCCTGACTGTGGCTCCAGCGAACCACACGGTGATGGAGGAGGTGAGGATGGACTCGATGATGGCCGTGTAGAACTGCACCAACATCTGTGCAGGCAGCTTGGCTTTCCTGAGCTGCCGCAGGAAGTACATCCTCTGCTGGGCCTTCTTGATGAGGGAGCTGATGGTCGGCTCCCACTTGAGGTCCTGGGTGATGGTGGTGCCCAGGAAACGGAAGGACTCCACAGAGGTGATGGGGGAGTCCATCACGGAGGGTGGGGGCGGGGGGACAGTGCTCTTCCTGAAGTCCACAATCATCTCCACTGTCTTCTGGGCGTTCAGCTCCAGGTTGTTACCACTGCACCAGGACACCAGCCGGTCCACCTCCCTCCTGTAGGCGGACTCATCGTTGTTGTAGATGAGTCCAATGAGGGTGGTGTCGTCCGCGAACTTGATCAGCTTCACGGAGTCGTGGCTGGAGGTGCAGTGGTTGGTGTACAGGGAGAAAGCAGGGGAGAAAGAACACAGCCCTGTGGGGCTCCTGTATTTATAATCCGAGAGTCCGAGACATTCTTCCCCAGACGCACTCGCTGCTTCCTGTCCGTCAGGAAGTCAGTGATCCACCTGCAGGTGGAATCGGGCACGTTGAGCTGGGAGAGCTTGTCCTGGAGCAGGGATGGCAGGATTGTGTTGAAGGCAGAGCTGAAGTCCACGAACAGGACCCTGGCGTAGGTCCCCGGGGAGTCCAGGTGCTGTAGGATGTGGTGGAGGGCCAGGTTAATGGCGTCGTCTACAGATCTGTTGGCTCTGTAGGCGAACTGCAGGGGGTCCAGGAGGGGGGAGGTGAGGGACTTGAGATGGGAGAGAACCAGGCGTTCAAATGACTTCATGACGACAGACGTAAGTGCTACAGGTCTGTAGTCATTGAGTCCTGTGATCCTGGGCTTCTTCGGGACGGGGACAATGATGGAGGATTTGAAGCAGGCCGGGACATGGCAGGACTGCAGAGAGGAGTTGAAAATGTCCGTGAACACAGGAGTAAGCTCACTGGCGCAGTGTCTCAGAGTGGCCGGAGACACGTGGTCCGGGCCAGGAGCTTTGCGGGGGTGCAGCCTCAGGAAGAGTTGTTTAATCTCTTTAGCGGCTATTGTTAGGCTGGGGGCAGGGCTGATGGGTGGGTCGTTAGAGTAGTGGGGGGTGGGGGAGGGAGAGGTGTCAGGGGCAGCATCAAAGCGACTGAAAAATAAGTTCAGATCGTCAGCTAGCTTGTGGTCATCAGCACAGGGGGGGGCTTTGGGTTTGTAGTTGGTGATCTCCCGTAGGCCCCTCCAGACAGAAGCAGTATCGTTGTTACCAAACTGCTCCTGTAGTCGTTCTCTGTGCCGGGACTTGGCTGCTTTCAGTTCTTTCCTGAACTGATATTTAGCTGCTTTGTAGCCGCTGCGGTCCCCCTCCCTGAAAGCAGACTCCTTTGCTTTCCTGAGCTGCCGGAGTTTAGCAGTGAACCAGGGTTTGTCGTTGTTATAGATGACCCTGGTCCTTGTTGGAATGATGCTATCCTCACAGAAGTAGATGTATGACGTCACAGTGTCCGTATATTCATCCAAGCTGTCTGTGGCAGCTCTGAAAAGGTCCCAGTCTGTAGATTCCATGCATGCGCGCAGCTCTTCCACAGCTTCATCAGACCACACTTTGGAGCTCCTCACTGCAGGTTTCGAGAGCTTTAGTCTCTGTCTGTAAGCAGGAACCAGATGTATCATGGAGTGATCTGAGAAGCCGAGGGCTGGCTTGGGAACAGCGCGAAAAGCTCCGCGCACGGTGGTGTAACAGTGATCCAGAGTGTTCTCCTCTCTGGTCGGGCATTTGATAAACTGTCTGTATTTGGGTAATTCCTGGCTCAAGTTTCCCTTATTAAAATCCCCCAGGATAATAATCAGAGAGTCCGGGTATAAGCGTTCCATACACAGTACTTGCTCTGCGAGTGCGCGCTGAGCCTCGCGCGCGTCCGCGCATGGCGGTATGTAAACAGAGGCAAGAATGAATGAAACAATTTCCCGCGGGGAGTAATATGGATTACAATGAATGAAAAGATATTCCAGAGCAGGAGAGCAGTGCTTGGAGATCACTGTCACATCGTTACACCAGTTTGTATTGACGTAGAAACAGAGCCCTCCGCCTCTGCTCTTCCCTGAGAGCGCACAATGGCGATCCGCGCGGAACAGCCCAAAGCCCTGCAGCTCCAGAGCGCAGTCCGGGATCCGCTCATTTAGCCAGGTCTCAGTGAAGCAGAGGACACAGGATGTGGCGAAGTCCTTGTTTCTTCTCATGAGCAGGCTGAGTTCGTCCATCTTATTGCCCAGTGAGCGTACGTTGGAGAGAAAAATGCCGGGGAGAGCCGTGCGCGCTCCTCTCCTCCTAAGACGCACGAGCAGGCCTCCTCGCTTTCCCCTTTTACGGGCCCACACTTTTTTGGCTAGAACATGAACTAAATCAGCCGCAGATGCCAAGAAAACAGGCAATAGGTCCATGGGAACGGAGGGTCGGATGTTCATAAGTTCCTCACGGGTGTAGGAACAGCCAGATGCACAGTTAAAAAGTAAAAACAAAAGAAAAAGAGAGCAGCAAAGAGCCATGTCGACCGTACGAGGCGCCATCTATAAAAGTATGTCAGAGTAATCAGAGCTGCAGAGAAGGCCACTGACTGCAAAAGAAGAACCTAAGAGTTTGAATAAAATCTACTAAAATAATTAAGTGTTTTTTATTTATGTAGCGCCTTTCATAGACCAGTCACAAACAACTTTACAATTGTTGTGGGCATTTGTCAAACATTTGAGAAATGTTACGTTTGAATATCGATGGTGGTTTTAGCCAAACAAAGTTATTTGCAAGTCCTTCATGTAATAAACAAGCTTTTGCATCCACCACCTCATCAGTTCCCTCATAAGAATACATCATACATATTTCCAACAGGCACACACGGACTTTTCATATGCATTAGTTATTAACTATGTATGCATTCAGACAATATCTATCTACAGTCGTTAATCACTTCCATAGTGTGGACTACAAGTAGAAGTTCTGATCCCACACTCATCCATCCACATTCAGCTCTGGATCCCTCAGGCGAGCAGCACTGCCCTAACTCCACAGTAAAAACTGGTCCACCTGGTTTACCATGTGGTGCAATTCTCCCACCAGGGGTTGTGTCAATTCATGCAACTTTTAAAAATGGAGTAATACATCAAAGTTTAATTATAACATTATTAACTTTTTTTTTTAGAAATTAACCAAAGCCTCAAGGCGATTGCTTCAGCCAACACGGCCCATTGCAAGAACCAAAATAATGTTCACCTATCTTCCACAGAAGTAGATGTGTAGACCAGGGACGTGCCGCGAGGTTTGTGATTGGGGAGGCACTGACTTTAACAGTCAGATTTACCATCATTATTCTAATAAAATAGCATTAAATCGTCAATGCAAAAACGTCCACAAACATCATATACTGTAAAGATAAGAGAACAAGCATATTATTAAAAATCCCACAACACATCTAGATGCTGGCTCTCCGCTCTGCATCAAACCAAGTCTTTGCGAAGCACAGGTGCGAGAAACGGGAGGAGGGAGGGAGAGAGAGAGAGACGCAAGGAGCGAGAGAGACGCAAGGTCTGGCGCCATAGCAAGGAGAGAGAGAAAGAGAGACGCTAGGAGAGAGAGGCACAAAGAGCGTGAGAGAGAGAGATGCAAAGAGCGTGAGAGAAAGACGCAAGGTCTGGCGCCATAGCAAGGAGAGAGAGAAAGAGAGACGCTAGAGAGAGACGCACAGAGCGTGAGAGAGAGCGGCGCAAGGTGCAAGAGATGCGAGGAAAGAAAAGGAGAGACGCTAGGAGGGAGAGAGAGAAACACAAGGAACACAAACAACAATTAAACAAGTTGCAGAACTCTTGAGCAGTGTTAAATCTAGGAGGTAGCACTTCCTGTTTGCGCCGGTACTATGGAGAAACGGCTCTAATATTTTTGCCAACATTAGTCAGTTTCCCAGCTTTTTCATTCACGGCTGCTGAAGCAATCACAGGGGTTAATTCGTGGGCAGATAAACGAGAGAAGGGGCTCTACGATGAAGAATCAATACACAAGTATCAAGGTAAGACATAACTTAGCAACTAACAGCAAAGTTAGCGTTAGCTACGACGCACGAAACCCAAACACATGTAATAAAGCCCTAAATGATAAGCTAAATTATTCGAAAGATGCAATAGAGACATGTTATAGACTTTCATATTATATTAGAACATGATGTGTTTGTCTATTTGTGAAAGCAAACTTGCTAAATGTTCTGCTTGAGTTGTGTAGCTGACACGTTCACATGGACAACTCCGGTAAATCAGAGCTTATACTAGAATCTTTTTGTTTGGTGGTTACTTTTTCTCTTCTGCTGACTTTGTAAGATAGTTAAGTTATAACAAGCAATAACTATATGTCTGTTCTTCTCTGTTTTAGATCTCAGTGGGTGTTGAAAAGAGTTGGGGCTTCTTCCTGTAGTCAGGCTGCGGGTAAAGGTTTCAGTCTGAACACTACTGCCCTGTACCAGTGATCTGCAAAGATCTCCAGCTGTTCCTCCTGCCCTAGCCTGTACCAGTGATCTGCAAAGATCTCCAGCTGTTCCTCCTGCCCTAGCCTGTACCAGTGATCTGCAAAGATCTCCAGCTGTTCCTCCTGCTCTAGCCTGTACCAGTGACCTGCAAAGATCTCCAGCTGTTCCTCCTGCCCTAGCCTGTACCAGTGATCTGCAAAGATCTCCAGCTGTTCCTCCTGCCCTAGCCTGTACCAGTGATCTGCAAAGATCTCCAGCTGTTCCTCCTGCCCTAGCCTGTACCAGTGATCTGCAAAGATCTCCAGCTGTTCCTCCTGCTCTAGCCTGTACCAGTGATCTGCAAAGATCTCCAGCTGTTTCTCCTGCTCTAGCCTGTACCAGTGATCTGCAAAGATCTCCAGCTGTTTCTCCTGCTCTAGCCTGTACCAGTGATTTGCATAGATCTCCAGCTGTTTCTCCTGCTCTAGCCTGTACCAGTGATTTGCATAGATCTCCAGCTGTTTCTCCTGCTCTAGCCTGTACCAGTGATTTGCATAGATCTCCAGCTGTTTCTCCTGCCCTAGCCTGTACCAGTGATTTGCAAAGATCTCCAGCTGTTTCTCCTGCCCTAGCCTGTACCAGTGATCTGCAAAGATCTCCAGCTGTTTCTCCTGCCCTAGCCTGTACCAGTGATTTGCAAAGATCTCCAGCTGTTTCTCCTGCTCTAGCCTGTACCAGTGATCTGCAA